GGCGACGTTCGCGAGATCGTGATCCATTACTCGTTACCAGCTGAGAATTCAGCTGCTCTATCCTTGCAACGAACACGTCAGCCGATCTAGTCGGTGGCCTCTCTCGAGGACGTTTTGCTTCGCGAGGAATCCATTTCAAAGTTCCTACTGTCCGTCCATCTGTCGTCATCCTTCCCATTATATAGCCAGCCTATCAACGTCTTGCTTCAGAGGTGTATTCTGCTGGATAGCGAAGATGAGACGCTGATCTCATATTAGCTGCAAAGCCCGGAGACGTTGAATGCGTCTGTTGTACTTCAGAAGAGTCGTTCCAGCGCTCTTTGGCTTGCTCACAAATCCTTCGACGTAGCGAAGTGTCAGACCACGTCTTTGCTGCGTAAAATAGCGCAGAAAGAACGGATATGGAACAGGTGGGATTGGAGTTTTGGGTCCCTCAGCTTATCAGCTAATCTGGGGTTTTCCTCAGAGTCCCGAAGCTGCTCAAGCTGCTCTTCTTCTCCTGTTCAGTTCTTCTTTCAGATTGTTGTTCATGTCTGTCGAACGCTTGAAATATACATAAGAAGAAGTTTCCGCCATTGGAAAAGCTTTTAATACGATTCTCTGATCCTCGCAAAATGCAATGTTTATGAATTTAGTCTTCTTCGGGTTAATTCGCAGTCCTATCCGCTTCCCTGCTTCGTTTACATTCAACATCGTCTCCGCTTTAGTGATATTCCTCAAGAAGAGGACAATGTCGTCCAGCGGTTTTAGAAAATCTTCCATCAACTCGTACACCTCTCTCGTTTCAATTCAACAATTTCATAATCCACTGCAGGGCATCGGTAAGCAGCTTTGGCGGCACGGTGTCGTCTTTTCGAACCCTCTTTGAAATTGGTACGTTCAAGGGCCATAGAAAAGCTGTACCGTTGTTGAGCAGTTCTTCTAGCAGTCAGCCAATCTCTTCTCGTAAGACCGATCCACCCCTCCGTGGACGAGCGCTGACAGTATGGCATTGGTCTTGACGCTGTCAAATGCTTTCTCGTGGTAGACGAAGGTTAAGACGAATAGTAGGCG